TTAGATTACGGGCAATGTTTAATGCGTATTCATCGCGATGTAACTTTATGCAGAAAGTATTTATTCAAGATACGTGTTTTCAGAAGTCGGCGTTAAAAGGAATGGTCGAATAATTGAAGATGATCCAAATGTTTTGGCAGCGACGTGTTCCGCTATCCTTTTATAACTGCGATAGTTAATGCCAAAAATAATACAAAGATATAAATGATATAATTGATACAATTAAATGTAAAAAGCGGATGGACAAATGCCAAACGTAGTTGCCAAGTGCAGTTTAAGACTACAGTGTATAAACTTGTTAGGTCTAATACAGTATTCCACGTCATCAAATCATTGCGCAGTTTTATTTACGACTACAAAACGCCAACTGTCATTAATTACAATACTATTATAAGTAGGCGTAATATAGAAATTGATAAAATCAGTTCAATATCAATATCGTGTATTTTGTTGTTCGGGTACACAAGACTTTTAATCTTTCATCACAGCATCTTATGATGTACGTATAAATTTCATTTACTACATTAAGATTATATAATAGTATTTTCGATATTAAGATCGTAACGTAGAAAATATGATTCTGTAAAGAAAATTCTTGATTCTATAATAACAATAACATATTGTTGTCAGGAGAGGATAAATTTTTTAATTTTTATATACACCATTTCGTAATTAAGTTATATCTCTTGAAATATGAATAAGAATTTTTATTTAATAATAAAAACATCTGAGTAATATTGATCCTTAATTAGTAAAGCTGCACTTTCCGAGGCGAAGACATAACTTTTGATAATAGATAAAATATCGAATGAACAATGAAAATTGTAAGCGGGTAATAAACTAAGTTTTATCATAAAATTTTATCATTATTGCTCGAGGGTTTTTTTCATTTTCACTGTGTTTCCTTCACATTTCTTGATTCTTTCATTTATTTATTTCATTATATTAAACGACAAGTACCGAAATAATTTAGGATTAATCATTGCTAATCATTAGATAACTTCGGTTGATCCTAAATCACCTTTATATATTTATATATAGCTTTGCGAAATATAATTATAATAATTATAATAATTATTATTTCTTCTTATATGATAAAATTAATAATATATCTGTTTATATGCTGTAATTATATATTTTAGAATCTCAGAGGATTTATCATTTTTTATATATTTTACTTCCACGTGATAATATTTCCTTTATAAATAGATCTACAAAATTACAAGTTATAAGATAATTCACATTTAAATGATCAACTAGCGAACAAAATCTTTTTTATGCATAATTTATATATAATTTTTATGAATGTAATAACTATAGAAGCGTAATAACACGGTTTTGAAAATTTTTTAAATATTATTTCACATCGAAATGAATTATCCAAGATAATTACTACTTGAAAATATTCAAATCAAAAAGATGAATAATTAACTTAAGAAATTGCGAAATTAAAAATGTCTAGTTAAAAAAATACTAAACTTTAAATAATAATCTAGATAAAAGTTCTGCTTATTTTCGATTACTTAGTATTCCAAGGATTCCTGGGATCAACAATAATTTCAATGCATGGCAGCGATCGATCTAAGAGTCTGCAATGAGCACCTCGGCCATATAACCGATTTGCTCTAATCCTCAGGACATTGACCCTGATTTGTGTAAATTCTACAGAAAATAAACCCTACCCACACGAATAACTTGACGCTTCAGTTCTCGTTGACTTTTTCTCTTCAATGTCGTTCATGGAGATAAAACGAGACGACATGTCGTGGAAGAATACATTCCCTGGAAAATACAGTCAATCCTTGCGCACGTATACTTACACATTGGGTGTAAACAAAATGTTTTGCTCAAAGTAAAGTATTTAAGAAAAAAAAAAAACCTTTGCCTATTTCGTATACGTGACTTGAATAGATATAACAATTTTATTTAATATATTCTTTTAACGATTTTTAATTACAATTGATATCATACGATTAATGTAAATTATCAATCATGATATTTTCGCTGTCAAATTTTTATGAAAATTAGAATTAGAACTCAACAATTTTAAAGAATAACCGGTCAAAATTGGGAAAAATTAGAATTTATTATTATTCTTAAAATTCTTTGATAATTTTCTTATAAGATATAGATAGATACTTAATAAAATTATAATATTTTTAAATTTTTCGATCTAATTTGAAATTCTTACGAAGAGTATCATAATGATATGACAATTTCATTATACTATTTAATTAAATACATTATTTACAACACTAATACATCTCAGTTCTTTCATAATGAATAGTAATAATTGTTCCTTATTTTTTGTATAGATATTCATATTATAAAGAAGACACGCCTCTTGATGAAATTGTAGCTGATGTCCAAATATAGTAGGACCTTGATTAACCGGTTTAATCAGGAGGAGAAGCTGAATAAACCGAAACGCAGCAGATAATCGAAACCTGGCGAGAAGTAATTAAAAACGCACATAAGAAGAATTTTTTATAAGCCAGGTGGTGCATTTCTTCTTATAATATATGCGTTCATAGCCAGAAGTATCTTCATATTTTCTTATTTCGATAACTTTACATGACGACGCAGATCTTTTAGCGTGAAATAAATTTTTTTGAAGTAATTCTATAGAGGGGAACAGATAACCCTCATAAAATTTTTTTGCATATGGAAAGTATATATAATTTTTTTTCATTCATTATTCAAATAGTTCTTACCATAACATTTAATTAAACCACTTTCTTTAATTATAATTAATTTAATTATAATTAAAGAGTTATGACGAAGGTTTGTTTTGAAAAGAAAAAAGGATAGAGATAGAAAATGGTCAAAATTTGATGATGATTATTTTTCTTTCTTTCTTTCTTTTCTTGATACAAATAAGAATAAAATTAAAATTAATTTAATCACAATAAATTAAATAAATATATTCAAATTTAATATAATGATTAATGTTAATGATTAATGCTATTAATATTCTATATAATAAATTAAATTATAATATAGTTGTTAGTAATTATGTTAAAAAGTGAAGAATATAAATTATTTATAAATTTTTATGAAATTTATAAATAATATGTTAAATATATAGTATATACTATATAAATTTATAGTATATAACCTGCAGATTATAATTTTTTCAAATTATATTGAATTGACAAGTAATTGAAAACGTGTCATTTCATACAGCTTTTCACATTTGAATAGTAGTTGAAGATAATAAGCAGCAGATAAAAGAGGTTAATTCTTACTTGTTTCTTTTCATTTTTATATAGCAGCTAAAATATCAATCCAAACAAGCGTTGTGACTTTCATTTTTTAGCAAACCTGTCCAACCATACATGTTGCAAGGAATGCGCTATGCAAGTATAAAATTTTATTTTTATAGCGGCTATGCCAACGAATCATGCTTTCATATGACTATAACTAATTAATAATTTCATATTGATGATTTACGCAAATATAGTTTAACATTGACTTATTATTAAATTGATTATTAAATATACATCATATTGAATTATAATGTCTAGTATTGAATAATATCTGATCGCTATAAGATTATAATATATGCAATATAAAAATAATCTGTTATTTTAAATATAGTTAAATACAGTAAAAAAAATTGATTTTATAAATATGACATCTGATAAAATAATTTCCGGTTTATCATCGTATTGTTTATAAAGTAATATTATCTTATCCTAAAATTAATATTTTCTTTAACAGATGTATTAATCTGTTGCGTGATTCTTTTATTTCTTGGAGTTTCTTCTTCTTCCTTTTGAGATCAATTTTAGATCGGACTACATCTGATATAATATATCGGATATATTATTTTTTAGTGCTTTTTTTGACGACTTTTTGATGAGTTTTTAAATGAGAAATAAGAAAAAAAGTAAAGCGAGTTTAAGCAGACGATAACAGTGGTTGGAAAAAGAGAGTGGAGTATTCGAATGGTATTTGCCACTCAGGTCGTTTGTTTCATCTTTTTTTTCTTATTTTAACTCTTGAAGACCGGATCCTTCAGCAGCATTGAAGGTGCGCGAATCAAAATACGAATATAAATATAAAATGCAAATATAAATTCTGTTATATATTTATATAATATAAATGAGTATGTGTTAATGAGTTATATGTATGAATTTCTATTATTCAAGAAAATTAACTTTTATGTTATTACAATAATAAATATTGAGAAATATACATAAATTATATATTTAATCCTTGATTTTAACTATAGATATATTTATTTTTACTGATATGATATAATTATATAAAATTTTAAATGTGTACATATGGATACATATATATTATATCATTTTAAAAATTTTTAATATCGAAATAATTTTATATTTCTTGAAATAGAAGATATTATCTATAGATAACATAGATAACATAATATTACAAGTAATAAAGAAATATAAAATGTTATATAGATTACTTTACGTAGATTATATAACTATATTCGATTTATTGATCAATTATTGGGAATACATTCTTCAATTTCACATTATCTGAAAACCTATTATTTTTTATCCAATATTTATCACAATATTTTTCTAAAATTTTATTTTAATCAAGTAACTATAAAATTTATAACTGAATATCGAAGTTGATATTGGTGATATTTAATTAATCATCGAGATCGTTTGCTGACAATAAATGATACATACTTAAAAGCACAACGTACTTCTCGTATGGACAAGATTCTCACTGCACTGATAACACTGTATGTATATGTATGCCGTAGGTACTTAGAGTCTCTACGCGTCAGTCGGATAGTTTCAGTCGTAAAAGTTTGATGTTCATCTAAACCCGTGTGCCACCTCCATCCATCTAACCACCACTCTTCGACGAAAGACCCCTCGCTCTTCTGACAGCCGAGTGCCCAACATGTCTCCTCCCCGTGCCAGGGACGTACCCCCTCCTAGCCGGTACCCGCAAGCCACCATGCACCTCGTCGGCGTGTCGCTGCTACCAGCACTCTTAGTAAGTTACGGACCGCATGCAAGTGCACATCGAATTTATCGGTAGTGTTATATTCGTATCACTTGCATTTTTCCACGTTTCTAGATTCTTCTCTGCATATTACCATACTCCATAACTCATTTCGATCACGTTCCGATCATTGGAGATTCACCAAATTTCTCCACACTGTTGTGCAGTAGTTTCGTGACATTTCGCATATACACTAATACATGTTAGAAAAAATTATCGAAAAAGAAAGGAGATTCGCGTGGAGCAGACTGGAGAATATTCTCGATAAAAGTTTGATATAATCTTGTGTGATTCAACAATTCAGAAAATTGTTTACGACAAAGATAAAACGAAAGTCAACGTGCACCGTAACGTATTCCAATGGGGGGAACTGTTGTTTCCCGTTACATGAGGGGGAGAAGCAGAAGTAGGAGGAGGATGGAATGACACGCGGACACGAGAAAGACGACGAGAGAAGACAATTGAAGTGCGCGTGTGCAAAAGTGCGCGGCACGCGGACGGAAGCTCGATGTGCGTTGTTATGTTTTTTGCGGAACTATCTAGACGTGTTTACTCGTTAATTCTCGTCGATTCTACGATTTAATTTTCACATTCCACATGCGTAGTGTTTTCTAGTACAGTGATACTAGATATCGTGTTTAGGAGTTGTTTGATTGATCGTTCAAGAAACTATGGGAACAGCAATGGACCAGGGAAATAGTTCGTGACGTATGAAAAATAAAAGAAGGTGACAAAAACAAGGAAAAAATATTTATTAACAACTTAACGAGTGTGCAACGTCTCATTATTTTGAAATGTTAATCGTGATGTACATACATGTGACATTTATATGAACGAAAAATACATGATGGAATATATAAACATGTCGGCTTGTCTACGCACGCGCGTGATTGTTCTCGCGCGCAAATGCAATATTAGATTGGTACTAGACGCATGGCACGAAATCGTATGCGTTCGTTTATAAAAAGCGAGTAACACGGTAACCTTGCAATAAAACTGTGAAGTATAGTGGACATAGAAAATTGTAAATTGAGATAAATGTGAAATATAGTGTTTTTTTTTACGACTATTGTGGATTTGTGCTTCAAATGCCGGTTATCTATATATTCGTTGATTGCTGAGAATTTGAAGATACAACGAACAATTTCATAGAAGACAATTTTATCTGGGATTTTATCTGGAATATTGAGTAAGTTTACAACATTCTATTTATTTTTTTCCATTTTTTTCAAATTCTTTTTTTTCATAAACTCTTAATTATATCTTTAATAAATCTTAATTATCAACTTCGTTTATTTATAGATATAAGTTATAAGATATAGGTTAGTTAGATATAGATTTAAGCTATTGGTTTCTATATAGTAAATAACTCAATGTTTTGTACATAAACTTGCATTGATTATTACAGAAAATATGTCGTATTATTCGTTTCTTTTTATATTAAAATTTTAGAAAATTAATATGCATGTATTATTGTAGCTTTATTCGAATCCATTTCTTAATTTTTTAAGTTATTGATGTTAAATTTTATAATTTATTTATCGTTTTAATATATATTTTCCAGATACAGCATTATTTGTTTTTATTATATATTTTTGCGTAAGGTTAATATTATTTGTTTTTATTAAAGATATTAAACAATTTTTGTTCTATTTTTCAAACTTTATAAAATAACATTTTATAATTATGATTATTATAAATATAAATTTCGTTGAAAGTGAGATCATGTTTAGTAAGATTTCTCATAAAGGAATAGAATATATCGATAGAATATATTAAATAAATAATAAATCTTCAAATTTTAAATAATTTATTTTAATAATTTATTCCAATTAAGTATAAATTAAATACTATTTGCTTTTTAAAGGAGATAAATTAATAGGTGTAATTATATTTAATATAACTATATCTCAATATTTATTAATATAAAATATATTTATATAATATCATATAAGATATATATATATAAAATATAGAGATATAATATACAATATATCATAGTTATTGACAAATTAATTTGTATATAATTTGTATAAAACTATAGTTTAAAATTTCCTATACTATTTTTTACGTAATCGCATTTGAAATCAAAATTTATTTTTACATTCGTTGTTAATATATTCATATTTAAGATAAGAAAATTTCTGTTCTACAGTTTCATATATTTGAATCAAATCATTTTTAAATACGCAATATCAAACATATGTTATTAATAATTCATTTATGAACTTTTTACAAGATCATTCTTAGCGATGAATAGTTGAATATTATTGTAGATACGTAGATGTGTGTCATATTATCATTGATTATACATATATGCATAAAAAAAACGCACGTTAATAGTATTTAAGTGTAGATATTTTTTGCAGGCACTTATCATTTTTATCAGACGTATATTCTGAGTACACGTGTGCTTACATTAATGACATTAATTATCGATCTGGTTAATGATAGATAGATTCGATATTTTATAAAAATATTCTGTATTGAAAGATTTTTTTATCGAGCTCGACGTTTCATTTAGCTCTTTCTTTCAATTCTACAGTCGTCTACATAAGTTTTTTTACACGATGTAGAAAATAATTTATTCAAATGAATCATACATGATGTTGTTTAATAATGTAACATTAGATAAATTTTATAGCATTTTATTTTAATTTATGGAAATTTATACTGTAAATATAAAATATAAAAAGACAATTATCGAGATCAACATTTTTGAGATGCTAGTACAATATTTACAGTTTCAAAGTTCAATTTGACTATAAAATGTTTTATCAATATGAATTAAATATAAAGAAACAATATTCATCTTATCTCTCACTCAAATAAAGAATTTACATATTTTCTGTATCCTCTGATTTTATAAATTTATTTAACGTAGCAATATTATTGATTATAAAAACATGAAAATAACTTCATATCTACTTGAAAATATTTTTATAAGGTATGAATTAATTAGAATAAAATATGCTGCTTATAAAGAGTTTAAAAGTTTTTTCGTGTTCTTGTTCATATCGTCTTATTCATTATTAAATGCATAATTCATTAAAGCGTAGTTAAGAAAATGTTCAAATCATGATTCAGATTGTCACGAATCAATAATAACGAGTATCTAACATGGAGCAACGTTTATTTTTTGTTGGTGAGGATAAGATTTTTCGATAGCGAATATCCGTCGAGAAAAAAAAAAAAAAGAAAGGAAGATGGATCGAGTTGCTGATCGGTATAAAAGGAGAAAAAGGAGGGATGTTCGGCTTGAATCTCGGTTGAAATTGACTGCAGTTTGATGTTGCAGAAAAAATAAGAGAGAGGCGAATATAGTCGATAAGAGGAGCGCACCGTCATTTTGCTTGTAATTAGATGAGATTGTGTTAGTGATGTTTGATAGAGTATGACATATCCGAAAGAAAAGAAAGAGAAAAAGGGAGACATGCGATAACAACACGTGCTTGCAGTCGTAGCTAAGAATTTATCGTTCGATGAAAATTCGATGATATTTTGATCGTATTCCGCATATAATAATTTTTTCTTTTCTATTTAAAATCTATTGAAAATGATAATTTAAAAATATTACTTTATATATGAAAATATATAATGTAATCAAGAAAATTATAATATAATAATATGTTTAATAAGGATACAGATTAGAGAGACATATATATAGGAAAAATTGGAATTATCTTTAACTAAATCTTTAAAAAATTATTAAATATTAATTGAGAATTCTTTAAGATGGATTTACATTTATTATGTATAATCCTTTCAATTATTAAGAATTATCCAATAATGTATATATCGTGTAATACGATACACGATTTAATAATTTTATCCAATATCAGCATATTCCATTAGAAAAATCCTGACAATGCATCAAGAAATTCTTTCCATGATAGAAATGTAAGTGAGTAAAGATGCAATAACGATACTTTCCATCTAAACTGGCTTACAATTGGATGGAAAGTATTATTACTGCACCTTATTATTTCCTTAATATGACGAGGAAAACCTGACAAACGACGGATCGATTCCGTTACGTGTCTTTGAATCTTAATTGTAATAGACAACGATGCATAACGACGCAACATCCATATTGATACTCAATAGCGATATAATAAGACGAGGATGCGTAACAAATATAGATCTCATATAGACTTTACGTAATTAAAAATTTTATACAAAGATAAAAAATTAAAGTAAGAGAGTGTTTATTGTATTTTTATGTATTTTTGTTACAATTTCCATTTACGAATTATTCCATTCACTTATATATTATTTAATAAAATTCTGTACAGAAACATACATAACCGGATGGCATAAAATCGAATAGTATCCGGTTTTAAACAGGATGTGATACATGTTGCATACTTATCGAGAACATAACAAAATAATAATAATGGATATTACAAGTACTTTATGTTCGGCATTGAAAAGAGTGCTAAGGTATAAGATTACGACTCTATCAATCATTTTCTCTCGTATAGCCATCCTTCTGAAAATTCTAGACCTTGTAACCGGACACGTAGCAGCAATAAATCAAGTTTCAAATGATCGTCAAATCTTAAAACACACTTTCTAATCCTTTAAATTAATAAATTCTGTTGCGCTATATATGCTAAGTGATATTAGATGCGATATCCGGTTTTCATAGGGCAGAATCGTGAATATATATAACATATATTTAAAATCACTATATTTTTGCGTTTTCTTTTTTTCTTTTCTTTCTTTTCCTTTTTTTTTTTTTTTGAAACCTATGCGTACAGTACTATCTGGCAAAAAAGATGCATAAAAATTTTTATCTGCTGATTTCGCTTGTTCTATTATTTTTCATAAAGCAATGGATAAATTAGCTGTTTAAATCATACTAAGCATCGACTTAATGATGGAATTTTTATTAACTATTCAATTCTGAACCCTATTTCGGATAATAATAATATTTAACTCTCAAACAACGTAGTTATAGGAACATTAAGTTTTTATGCAGTCGAGAATCCGTGTAAAATTGTTCATCTTCCAAAATTTTGTCTATATAATATTTTATAATAATCTACTATTGATCAAAAGTTTAATTTTTTGCAGACACTACATCATAATGTAGTATCTATATCTGTACTACATATTATTAAAATAAAAAAATTAATTAGAGAATTAAAGTGATGATAATTAATATAGAAAAAAAATATATTTCATCAATTTTGAATAATTTTAAATAATTTTTTCTAAGGATCGCTCGGTTTTTAAGATTTTCGTAAAAAAAAAAAAGATTACTTTACTATTTACTTATTTTGCATAGAAGTTCATCTATAAATAATCTGCATTATTAGGGGTTAACTACATGTATAGGTATACATTTGGAACAAAAAAAAAATGGCAAGTAACTTCGATGCCGTTGAAAAAGATATTATTTCTTTTCATGGCCGTTGTTGAAACGTGAGATAAGTTACTCGTTTTTTTTCCTTCGATGAGATGGATCATCGCGGCATCTTTGATGCTAATATACGAATTATGTATCATTTGTATGAGAATAAAAAAGAAATATAAGGAGAAAGAAGCATAAGAAAGAAAAAAAAAGATATAAAATGTTAGTTCAATGACACTTCACACTTTCAGATTCCTTTTTTATCGGGCCATCATAATGTAATGCAGCAGACTCTTATATTACATGGATGTATTCGTTTCATATCAGTTTATTTCGGAAAAAAGACAATTTTTAAAGTTTATTCGGTTATCCATATATATCTTGTTATCATTAACTATATCACGTATATTTTATTTAGTTTCGTAAATTATAATTCATCATGTTGAATAAAAAAAAGAATGAATTTATCATCAATTATTTCATTATTTCATTGTAATTCTTGAGTTTCATCTAATTTTTCATTCAAATCTCATTGATTAATGTTTGTTGTTTATCATATTATTTTTTTTTGAAAATTTTCGAATATTTTCATACTTGTATACAATCATCCATAAAAATCTATATTAATATGAATCTTGCTATGCAAAATAATAATGAAGTTTAATCTTTTCTTAGTGTAAAGTACGCTAACTTTACAATGAAATTTTGCAACATATTAATTCAATATAAATAATCTTTTTATAGAATAGATATATCTAGCTATGCGAAAACTTTTGTTCAAAACAGGCGTGATATTTTTCCATAAAGTTCTAGAAAATTTATTACTTATTTCTTAAGATTAAAAAGTTTATTACTTCTTGTTACTTTACACTTCTATCGTGTCGTTTCCTATCAACTAATCCTTCTTTTCCACTTCCTGTTGCATTGTTATTCTATTGCAATTATTGTAATACATCGCGTGTTATAAGTAAGAAGTTATTTTCCAATGTACGTTTATGAGTGCATGAAGAAACGTATTCAGGAATAGCTACAATGACATCGAGCGTTGAACAGAAATTTTAAGTTGAATCTTTTTAAAATTGGAGTAAAATGGAACGTTCTTCAATTTATTTATTTTTTAATATATCCATTATCACACAATGCAAATAGTAAACATAAATATAAATATAAATAATTAATATTGTAGTGTTATATAAAAATATAAAACTTATTGTAACTATCTATTTATGATATAGTGTAAAATAATCATTGTAATGTCCATTAATTGATCCAAACTAAAATAAAAAAATGCTGGAAAATTCTGAAAAACTTAATACGCTATTTTTTGAATTAATCGCGTAATTAATATGGAAAATTTGTACTTTTATATATGCAAGTAGAATTTAACTTTTATATACGTGATATAAGTAGTTATCGATTCGATATATCGCGGAAACCGTAGCTAGCATGCATTTTGATACTTTGTTCAACTCACGATAAGATAACTATTTTAAAAATCTTGCTATTGATATGGATTTTTGTAGTAAATGTTATAGTGGCGACATCTTATGCAAATAAATATTTTTCTTGTTACTATTAATATAGTAATAATTATATACTATTAATATTTATAGTAATAATATAATATTATAATATAATAATGAATTAGTAGAATAATTTGCTTTGTATAAAAATTATTGAAGATAATTTAATTATATTCAATAATTTAATTATTGAAGATATTTAAATGATTTAAAAAATTATTTTTTTTTATTAATAAAAAATGAATGATTAGAAAAATTAGATTTAAGCTTATGAAATAAAATAAGATAGGTATATAAAGTAATAAGACCAATAAATTCTAAAGTTATTAAATATAAGATAGTGGCTCAGAAAAATTAATTGATAAAGTGCAAAATAAATATTTGATTAAATAATTATCTCGAATAATCATAGTATCAAAGTATTGTATAAGTAAAAAATGATCATACGATGAAAGTGAAATCGTAGGTAAGGTAATTTAAAAAAAAAATGAAATTGCGCGATAAATTCTTAATAAAATGTTATCTGGATTTACAGATTGATAATAGAGATTGATAAGAAAATTTATTCGTATTGTATTAAATAAAATTTAAATAAAAAACTTTCCATTGAATTTAATTATCATAAAGTAAATATCTTTTTGATAATTTTCCTGCCTGATAGGAAGGGTTTTTTTTGATTTCCAAAAAAGTTAAGTACAACAGTCAATTCAATTATTAAACTCATCCTTTATAATTACATTATTTTGTACTTTTACAACAAAATTTAAAAAAATTAAAAAGAAATTCAAGTAATACACTAATATCTCTTTAACTCAGTTCTTAAAAGTATAGATCACGATATAGCAAGGTCGTAAAATCAATCAAATGTAAAGTAATGATGTATTATTTATCAGAACTAATGTTTTGACAAATCTACGATCAGATAAATATCAGAAACTTGATAAAAAATGCAGTGTTCATTTCTCAAGTATATCACGTCACATTTGATCATCAATCGACGTCGCTTCCTAATATGTAGTTTAATTTATAAGGCTCTATTCTATAACTACTCTATGTGTAACTAACAATCAGTTTCTGTTTCTTAACAATCGCTTTGGAATCAATCAATCAATGTTATTCTATATATATATTCAAGATTTTTCTTTTTGCATTTAAATATAATTTAGAGAAAAACATAATATTGTATAATTTTAATTTTTGCTTCATAAAAATATATTCATAATGTTCATGCGATTTTACTGATGAAAATGAGACCAAACTCGGCGTATTTAAAATAATTTTAAATTAACAATAATAATATCGTAAATTTACACGTATCTCGCTCACTCTTATTTCATCTTATTCTCTTTGCCTTCATTGCCACTCGTTCTCATTTGCAACACACTTTCTTTTCTTGTCACCGTCGGACCAAATATGTCAGCAAAACATGAAAGTGAACGCTTGAGTTACTGAAGCCGAGAAATTCTATTGCTTGTATGATTAACATTCTCATATTTCCTTTATAAATGGCATTGTCTCAAAATAAATATCTACTGCTACTTATGGAGGTATTACTATAGTTTGTTCAGAGAAATATTGCAGTGTCGTTGTAAATTATTTTGTTATGACATTTTCGTCGCCAGCATTTAGAAATTGAAATACTTTCTCGATAAACTAACCTTTACGATCACTTTCTATTTATATCATCACACAGTTTGTCCATTATTTATTCAAATAATTTTTACAATAACACATACACCTATTAATAATATATTTTAAATAAGTAATTCAAAATTGCATTATTTTTGCAATTATTTTAAATTCTAAATTATTAGATTTAGATTAAACTCAATGTTTTTTTTCTCTAGAAAATTCATTTTTGTTTTTTAAAGTTTTAATAGGGAAAAAAAAACTTTGTGAGAATTGAAAGATCAAAGTTATTTTAATATTACCATTATTTTAATATTACCATTTTCTTTGACAATTTTTATTAATAAAAATTTTACTTTTATTTTAAATTATTTGGAGTAAACAAATTTTGTGACTCTATATATAGGAGATAATATATAACATATATTCTTTCGAATTATTATTCCAAACTGTTATTTAATTGATCTATTTTATTGATAGCGATAATTTATTTTATTATGCAAGAATTATCACACGTTGAATCATCGATGTGCGCTAAAAGATATTTACATACTGCAAAATCGAGGCTACGATCTAAGGATGCTCGGTTATCTATTCTCGCATCAAGGGTGAAAGGGCCTTGAGGTCTCCACTTAATATCCAGTAGGTTTCAGATTTCATGTGAAGATATTCTGTTAAACCTTAAGGATATCTGCTTTTCGCTTACAATTAGTATCTAAGTACTTTGTTTGATATAGCATTAATACTAATTTCATTTTCTATTGCAATTCACTCGTAAATTACAGTGATCCATTTGTATTGATCATTTCCTAGATTCTAATCGCAAGATTTTTAACTATTCAACTATTGAAAATTCGTAATTTTATGGGCTGCATCCATATTTTAAAATTGGCCCTTTCTTGTTTTAAAATTTAAGCCGTATAATATTTGAAAGTCAAATTGTTCAAAGTCTCGTTAATTATTTTCTGCTAATAAATATTACAAATGAAAGTTGTTATCAAAATTCATTAGGGAAAAAAGATTTGATGGCAACTCTCGAGAATTTTACTCTCAAATAGATTTATATCCTAAAATTTATTATGGTTAATAATTTTATCCAATATTATAGATATATTCCCCAAGTATAATTCAATATTATAACTCATATAATATTAAATAAGGCTTTAACCTCATCAAAATTTAAGTTGAAAAATTTACGATTATTATTATTACATAAAATTCGTATTGGTCAAGGTTTAACAATTCACTTTCAATGTAAATTACATTTTTAAATTGTTAACGATACTTAACTACAATAGCAATCAAGCAAGCCATCAGATTGCCAATTTTGTTCGATTTATAATCACACATAAAGATAATCACGGTGTATCGAATCATTAAAACTTATACCTTTCTCATAAGAACATATTGCCAATAACGTAAAAATATTAAAAGTGTTTAACGAATAAGTGTTGGAAGGGTGATGTTCTCTTCAACATCTAACCAAATGTTCTTTAATAAATGTTTTCACAACATTTTTCTCGAATGGTATAATATTATTAAACATTAATAATATTACCAATGGCTCAAATATGAAAAGAATATCATTACTTATATCTAGTGTTCCAACACTTAAATTGAACGTTTATACAGTCTATTGGAATTTTTGTCACAATTATGTCGTGAAATATTTTAGAATGTAAGAAATAAGGTCATCCAATTAAAAAATTTTTCAACTGGATAGAATATATTGGAAAATCGTTGAATAAAATATTATCAATATAACGATATTTATTATCTTATTCAATTATTCCAATTGTTAAAGTGTAAATTATGATCTTTTGATCTGTCAAACGTAATATAGTTTTAATTCAATTCGAATTAATATATTGTCATGAATAAATTTCATACCTGTTGCTATATCTTATTCATTGCATTTTACACAATGCAGAAATCTAAATCTGTCTTTAATAATAAGAAAAAAAAAATTGGAGTTAATTGTTTCATGTATTTGTATAATCAAAATCGTGTAATGATTCGTAATAATTCCTGTATAATAATACCAATTACATTAATTTGATCACTTATTTCATCCATCACATAAATATCATGATCCCCAAGTTCTTCGATTAAAATTCTTTTTTCTTTTTATGTTGCAGAACGAGAATTGGAGGAAAGAAAGCTGGTGTCGAAAATCGAATCTACGCCTCGACCGTGTTCGAAACACGTGTTCCCGTTTTTTTTTTTTACAAGCGCGCGATAAAAGGATTAGCTAGAGAAAGGACAACGATAGAGGGACAAACAACCGTTCAAAATATTTCATTGAGATTGTTCTTTGTAATTATGAAAAGGCTGTGAATCGAGGTTACCTATGTATCGCGAAGAGAACGAGCAAAACAGAGCCGCGGACTTGGCTCCCCAACAACCAAGTGGTGCAAACACGTTCGAGCGTTTGGAACATTCTCAGGATAGCAAAAATGGGGACGATGGTCCCAAGAAGGTGCAAACAGACGCTTCCTCTTCAACGAATACTCCAAAGCCGCGTGCACGGAATTGTGCACGATGTCTGAATCATCGGCTGGAGATCACCTTAAAATCACACAAGAGGTACTGCAAGTATCGTACTTGTATCTGCGAGAAGTGTAAGATCACTGCCAATAGGCAGCAAGTGATGCGGCAGAATATGAAGCTGAAAAGACACCTGGCACAGGATAAAGTCAAAGTAAGAGTAGCGGAAGAGGTTAGTCTTTTCCTTGTTTCATAATGGTTTCTTGGCGAAAGGCTCTCTTGTCGTGGCTTGAGTCAGCGAGGTATTTTGTATTTTAACGATTTCCTAACATGTTGCCGCTGATATAGTTTTATATTGAAATTTTTTTTTTTTTTTTTTCTTAATTAATAATTGATCGTAAGCTGTAAGCTGATGTAAATAGTAAGTTCATAGGATACCTATTAGCAAAAAGTGGAGTGAAATTAGAAAAGTATTAGAATTGTAAAGAATTTATATTTAGATTGAATATTATACAATGGCAAAAATATTAATAATCGTTTATTTACAATTGAATTAATTTATTATAATATTTGTTATTTATTTAATTCAAATATTATATAAATTTTGATTTTTATCTAATTCATTCCAAATTATTTATTATTTTAATAAATTGTTTTATATATATAGTAAAAAACTAATTAAAAACAGTTACACTTGTATGAATAGAGATTTTTAAAAAATTTGCTAATATTTTTCAAAATTCAAAATTTTTTCAATTTCATTCCATAATTTAGTAATTTTTTTAAAATGTTTTTTACATGTTCTAAAAAATCATTCCTCTATTTACTCCATATAAACCAATAAACATTCGATGAAATAATAAGACATCTTAATATCAAGCTCATAGAAAATATTAACCCTGCAATAACATACTGATATTCTTGATTATCTTAGTATAACACACATTTTCTGTATCATATATTCATATTATTATATTATAAAATGAATTGCATATAATTCTTTTATAAATCATCTCTAAGATTCTTATTCTGTAATCCATAGATTTTTTTCTAAAAATATTCCAAATTCGATATAATTCTTGAATATTTCTGTTAAGTGAGATAATTTCTATCTAAGTGATAAGATTTGGGCATTTAGTATATATTTAGAATAAAAGTATATATTTAAAATATAGCATAAAGTTCATCAACAAATTCTTTTCTAAAATTTATCAAAAATCCCAAATATATCTTGGCCAAATATTTTTTACATATTATCCGAAAAAGAACTCGTTGAATCGCATAAACTGTCGTTCGCACCTTTCGGAAACAAACCATTAGATAAATGTATCGTTTGCTTTCATCGTCGAAACGTTTTCAATTATTGATACTATAATTGACTAGAATCACACGAACCTATGATTATTTTATTCATGCTCCTAACATCAGGTTAAGCTGCTTGTAACGCAAGGCAAATCGACGCCATTTGTTTAGTTTCCGCCTCAGCACCTGCGATAATTTCAAATATAAGCCGCGCTTAATCTCACTGAACTCCGATCGTAATTGATTCTTTCCTAACAGGTGGATCCGCTCCCATTTGGCGTAGAAAATACAATTTCTTCGGTCCCTCAACCACCTAGAAGTCTCGAGGGTAGTTACGATAGTAGCAGCGGCGATTCACCAGTGAGCAGCCACAGTAGCAATGGTATACACACCGGATTCGGTGGTAGTATCATCACTATACCCCCTACGAGAAAATTGCCGCCGCTGCATCCTCACACTGCGATGGTCACCCATTTGCCACAGACGTTAACCAGTGAGTGATGAATTTTCTTTAATAATATATTTCCTTTTTCAACCTATTTATTCAGATTTTGGATGAATTCTCTTATATGAAATTCTGTAGAAAGAAATATTTGAAGGTTTGCATGATATTTTTGAATGGAAATGCATGAAAGACTTTTTTTTTTTTTTGGTGTAATAGATATTTGAATCATAATGGAATTGAATTTAACTTTTGCATTAAAAAGATATTATGATTATGCTGGTAGATTATCTTAATAAAAATTGTATTGTTGTATAGAAATTGTTTTAAATTAAATTGATTTTTTTTTTATATACATATATTCTGAACTGTTGCATTGAATATAAAAGTATTTTTTCATAAATTTATTTTAAAATTAATAATTAAATTTGATTTGATTATATATTTCTAATAAAAAGAGAAATAAGGAATAATTAAAAAATTTATGAAAAGAAAAGATATAAACAACAAGTTTTTTGATTAATCAAATTTTGTTTAACAAAGTTTTAAATATTAAATACATAATTATTGCTTAAGGTTTTTCACTATAATTAAAAGATATCCATTATCATAATATCTATTACACAAAGTTATAGAATAATAATATAGAATTTAATATGCATGTTTATTAATTATTCTTGATTTATGTATTTGATGAATATGTATAGATATATGTAAGGTATTTATATACATATTGACCGTGATTATCTACCTGTTGCTCTAACTTTTAATTATCCTCTTTTTAATCATTCCAATTCATCGGTAATTACATAGGATATGAAACCATTGATTTTGGAATATATTGTACTATATGTATTATATTAAACCTATAAATATATACATAATAATATCGTATACGATAGGAATTATAATCTATAAGTAAATATATTTTATATTTATATTTTTCAAACTCATTTAAAACTCACATACAAATATACAATATAAAAAAATAATTACGTTATATTTTCTATTGAAGGAAAGAAAAAATACAGAAATTAAAAATTATGTATAATTTGTTCCGGAAAATCGCGAAAATTTATAGTGAGAAAATCATTTTGCATATCATTCGTTCACACGTCTTACACAATCATGCATTCAAAACATCCAGATAATTGTCTTAATCAATATCATAGGGAAAACTACCAAAGATTCCAAGAAAAATCCGTGTCGATTGCTCGATGCATTTGTACAGTTCAATCACGTCAAATTTGATAGAAATTGATTTTAAACAAAATAATATGTGCCATAAATATTCAATATTCGTTAATAAAATCCATTCAACATCTACATCTATGCACTTATATCAAGTTATTAGTGTTCATTTCAAATGTGTGCATGAAAAATAATTATCATTATTATTCGTAGAAAAAATTGATTTAATTATCTTATATTATTCTATAATAATATTTTTTATGTGAGTGCATTTTTGAAATGATCATCATCACCATTATAATTTATTAAATGAATTCAAATATATTTTTTACGATTCGTATTATCGATTATGATTTCATTACACATGCTAATTTTTTATCAGACCATAATTAATACTTATACATGCAAAGGGAGTTGGGCTTGTAGGTATGATTCATGCCACAAGGGGAATTATAGCCTTATGTGCTATAATATAAAGTTTTCCTTTTTTTTTTTGATATTATTTAGACTTAGAGAAAAATTGTTGTCGGAAATATCAAAATTTTTCAAGAAGTATTTGTAATATAAATAGAATTTAATAAAAGAAATTATTTTTAGTAAAAATTTCCTAATAAGAATCGATAAATCGTAAAAAAAAAAAAAAAAGATTAATTTATAGGAAGCGAAAAATTGTCGTTCGATACTTATCTGAAAATAAATTCATATTCTTTTGTGAACAATGTTATTAAAAGGTAATTACATATTGATTAAGGAACAATTAGTTCTAATATTACATGATATAAACCTATAACGATACTTTCACATGTATCGCATGCTTTTGCTGCATTATACCCTTTTGCTTGTAAAACAACATGTATTCAGAGAAAAATATAGACGCCCAATTATCTTAAGATATAAGATAGTTCGAAATTATTTTCAAGAAATTTTTTTTCTTTTTTTTTTTTTTTTCGTTCATGAAATCAGAGCGTGTGAAACCTAAACAATCGCAAACGAGCAATAAAACGAAATAATTGTAAAAGAAATTATAATGGCCAGATAAGAAGACCTCCCTTGTCGCGAGACTTAAACAACAAAGACTGGTATTCAGTGGTCTTCGTCAGAAGACTGTTATTTAGCCGTGTCTGGATATACGAACCATTATATCGATTGCAATTACCGTATAAAATGTTATTTGAAGAAGTTCAATTAATGAAAGATCATTATTATTCCCGAGTACAATTCGAGCACTGTACTCCAGTTCCACGAATCGAACGTTTGTTACTGATTACCTACCTATAGCTTTCGCGTCTTACGACTTTGACCGACATCATATAATCGACGAAAGACATAAAACGGACCAACTGAAGAAAGAACGTTCTTTAGGATTTCGAGTCTCCAATGACAGGGCTTAACCCTTTCGAGACTCTTAAAACAATAAGTTTTAAGGTAACTTTTACAAAGATTGATAGATTGTCGTTATTTTTCTGGTATTGATAACATAATTTGTTGGACCATCGAGACATAGGATTGCATTACGAACTGGATTTTGTATCCTATTTTGAAAATTAGTCTCGATTTATACGTATTTATTTTAAATTTGTTATAATATTGCATTAGAAAAAAATCTAATTTATGAAAAAATGATACTTATCATATTAGAATGTAAAATAGTAAGTAAAATGAAAGAATCTTCTTCGATTATTAATTGAAGCTTTAGGTTTTCAATTAAATCCCTTAGCATTTGTAAATAAATCTTCCTAAAAAAAATTTCAATTCACAAGAGCTCATATGTATTTTCCATTTTAATTACTTTTTCTTGAGAATTAATTAGATTTAATAAACGAGGGAATGATTAATGTAATGATTAAACAATTCAAGGTTTAAATAAGAGTTTTACATTAAAATTAATTACTACATTATTAATAGATTATCATCTAAATCTAATCGTTAATTTTCCATTTATTATGCGACACTGTAAAGAGAAATGAAATTTTTGTATGCATATCCTAATTGGATAACCAGTAAATCGTTAACATCGATCTATAAAATAGCGATAGAAATTTCGGATCGCTTACGATCGGAACCGATCGCTTATTCCAAGGATTCAGTTTCGAGCAGTGGGTCTAATTTGAACAAAAGCCTTGAAATGCTTGGTTATAACCGAACGTATATACTTATAACGTCGTTCACAGTGATCCCAACGAAATTCAAGCCACTCTTTCACTTGACAACCCGACCGAATGTTAACCCTGGGTTTACGATCGCCTCCATTGGACGGCGAGTCGTTCGAATCCGGCTAATATAATACGAACTTATAACCAAAGTCGAAACCTGGGAGCTCGCTCTTGCTTTTACGATCTGGCTCGATTTTAAAAGTTATCGTTATTTTTCTCGCTTTCGGATGAAATAGTTTGTTCATGGACGAAGTATAAACGATTCGAAGAAGGTTGACGTCTACACGCACCGGCGAACCGCATTTAAAGTTGTACACAAGTTTGTTTGATCTGTCAAGGTCTGAGCACGTGTACCCTAACGATATTTTATTGGTATGATGCATCGACGTGAAGTTCACATTTTTTTTTTACGAGTAAAAAAATAATAATAACCATTGCTTTGCAACTGAATTATTTTCTTTCAACGTTGTGTTATTTAGTGGAGGGTGGTAAAAGAGGGATAAATTTTGATGTGTAATAAATTTTGTGATACGATTTTTGAACACGTATATATTCTGATATTAGAGTTTGAATAAAAAATAAAATAAAGTTATTAAAATACAATATTGCGTTAATGCAATATTTTATTCCCAATATTTATTTAATCAGTTTACATTTTACAAATTATATAAAGAAATCTTGTATTATATTTCTTCTTAAGATTTTCAATATCATAAATTTTAATTATTTTATGTTTTTTATGTATTCTTTCATTTATTATTTTACAAGACATTTTTTTCTCTCATTTATATTTTTGTTGATATAACTATAGAATGTATTGTTTTAAAGATATAGATAAAAAAAAATATCTTAAACGTAGAAATTTTAGAAAAATTAGTTATTTTGGAACATCTGATAGTTAATAATGAAATTTCTTGAGATCTTTGTTGTTCTTCCGCGGTCCTTGTGTGGGACCCGGCCGACCCAAGGTTTACGACAGTCGTTTCCATAAAGAGCCATAAACCTGTTAATTGATTTACAACCGTTTCCACGGATCCGTGCTGATGAAAATTACCACGGAGGGAGAGCATCCCTGTCTCGTGGTAATGGAAAAGTGGCGTGGACATTGATATCCTGGAAAGTAGGGTGGAAGAAAACGAGTGTAGGGAATCGTTGCCTTAGTGTTATGGCTGTATATGAGGTTATAAAGTCGGTCTTTACGAGCTTGCATCGAGCACAGGCTTTTAATAACGCGTAGCTCGTTGTTATGCCAGGTAAGGATATGCTTGGTGAAAGCGTAACACCAATTCTTCAACGGTTATGCATACTTGTAAAGGATGTAGTGCCGTCGCCATTTTGAATCCGAGACCACGCTACTCGGCCATCTGGCGCGTGGCATTTATAACTAAATGCTCATTCATAATTAATTTTATAACTCTTTTTTTTTTAAAGACCTTCATAAACATAATTCATTGTTTTTTATCTTTTGATTCAGATATGTGGTTGTTGTGTGATTATTTTCTACAAATGTTTGAGAAATATCTGATCGTTGAAAGTGTTTTTACTATTTTTTTATATATCTGATAAAAGGAGTTTTTTTGTAGATATTTTTTGAACGTGTTTATGTTTTTTTTTTTTTTTAATTATCAAATTAATTGTTTGATAGCTAAAGAATATTTCAGTATTATCTATTTTAATATTTTAAATTTATAAATTATAAGAGGGACA